CTTCCCCAGATACATATCTTCCAATTTTCCAGACATGCCTTAAAAAAAAAAAAAAAAAAGAAATCTCATTCTAGGAAAATCAGAAGCAACTGGCACATTTTCCTTATTAGCTGCAATGAACCATTTACCAACCTGCTAATTGCTTTCTCCTCCACCTCCTCCCATTTCCCACACCACCTACGTCAAGGCAATTGAACAGGATGGAGAAATCATTTTAGTACTTGGGTACTGGAGAAGAAATAACTAGAGGCATGATATTATTTTTTTTGGTATAAGAATGATTTGATATAACTTACTTCTTTTGAACTGTTCAATAGGCTTTCTATCTTATTCCATACCTTCAGGCGTTAAAGAAGGGCTAAAATGTTTTACTTAAGTTAAACTAATTAAAACTTTTAAAAATTCAATATTCTAATTTTCATGACCTTAGTTAAATACCTTAATCACACTGTATCACTCTTTAAAATGAGACTCCAAAGTATTATAGATACAAATTTATTATGAAACTTACCCAGTATAACAACATAATGGGGTTACTAAAATTAAGACTAATGAGGAAAAACACCAAGGTTCCTGCAATTTCTTTCTCCTTTTTAAAAATAGTTGTAACAGTTTCCACTTTTTACTTTGTACATACCGTACAGCACAAAGCAATCTCATACTTCTCCCCAAATGGCAGGTAGTTGAAATCTGGACTTTGCCAGTACACTTGGACCCTGTTAACTAGTACAGTGCAGGGGGCATCCATGCTCATAACCTTCTATGCCTATAATGGTCAGCATTTTCCAAAAATCAAAATCAGTGTTCAACAATGTCTTGGTAGGATTTCATGTTTTCACCAGATTTATTAAACAGCCTTTCTGTGCTAGGCACGGTGCTACGCAAGAGGGGTAAAGTGATAAATTAGACTGTCCTTGTTCTCAAGGGGATCCAGTCTTGGGGAGGACGTAGACACATAATCAAATGGCTATAATACGACATGTGAGGACTCGAGCAGAGAAATGTACAGAGTGGATCCCAGGCCAGAGAAGGGACACGCATCTGGCCTGGGAAGCAGGACAAGAAAGTTTACCAAAGTCTGTGCAAGATTGCTTCAGCCCCCGTTTAACTTGGGCTCAAAGCTGTTTCCACATCCTGTGAAAACAGCAGGTATAGATGAAAGATGCAGTGTCGACCATTAACTGCTTCCTCCTATTCCCACGCTCTTCAGTGCTCATGCCATCACCACTGAACTCCTGTTTGGAGCCCTCGGCTCTGTACTTAATGCATTTTTTTTCCTTCAGTATTTGGAGCTGAGGCAAAAGAGATGATCTAGTTTGTGTTCTAATAACCCTCTAAGAGGTGTGCTATCTAGCTATATTAAGTTACCTCTTAGCTTTCTTTTTATTCAGAATTATAGTTCTTTTTTTTTTTTTTTAAAGATTTTATTCATTCATTTTTTTGCCCCCAAAGCCCCAGCAGATAGTTGTATGTCATAGGTTCACATCCTTCTAGTTGCTGTACGTGGGACTCGGCCTCGCGCTGGACGGAGAAGTGGTGCCTTGGGGCGCGCCCGGGATCCGAACCCAGGCCGCCAGCATCAGAGCGCGCGCACTCAACCGCCAAGCCACAGAGCCGGCCCCAGAATTATAGTTCTTAACTTTTCAAAATTTGCCTTTGAATACATTTTCCTTCCTTTTAAGATGAAAAGTGAACTTTACTTCATCCTGACATTAGGATTGATCATATAATCTACATCGAAAAGAAACATATTTCTCTCAAAATAACTTTTCAGAAATATGTGACTGTCAAAGTACAATATGGTAAGATCTTTCTACATGTGGCTGCATAAACTCTTCTAGAATATTGTGGAGAAACATGTAGATTAGGATGTCAATGTCTAATTAACTGCCTAGTTAATTAGAGTGGAAATACTTCTTTTAGTAGAACACTGCATTCTTTTTGCAGTGATAGATTTCTGAAAGGTGGTCTTCAAAAGTGTAAGCGTTCTTTGTTCTTATTCCTTAATGATTTTGGAAGAACAAATTGTTTATGTATATAGGCCAAGTATGTTTTCTTATCATGCATTGTTTTAAGCATTAATTATTACTTAGGTTAGTTCCTTCCAGGACTGCTATCTTCTCACAAAAGAATAAGTGCTAATTTAAACATTTTGGAAACGGCCTAAAAGTCATTTAAAACATCTTGAGCAGCTTCAACACATCATGTGGAACTGCTCAGGAAGTCTTCATAATTAACTAATGACCCATTCTCTTTGAATGGACAAAGACCAGAGTCCAACAGGTGACTTCAGAGGCCTTGTCTTTGTAAATCTTATTTCTATTACTTCTGCCTAACTATAACTTCAAAAAAAAAAAAATCCCACTCAGTAAACTTCATTATCCATAGCCTGTCCTAGATTCTTACAGTAGGATTATAGGTAGATGTAGATGCAGACTTAACAAATGACCTCCTTCTTGGAGGACAGTCCAGAGGAAACCAGCTACAAGGTGCCCTAGCAAGTCTTCACGTTTGAAGGGTGATTGCATTTTTTTTTTTTGCCCGTGACTTATTAGCTTTCTTAAGATTTTAAAAGGAAATGTTGACAAAAGATCCACATGACTTGTAAAGAGAACTAGATGGTGAGGAGGATCATGAAACATTGGACTGTGTTTCTGAGGGTCACTGCAAAATCAGCTACTTTAAAAGAAGAATCTATACCCCTTTAACAATGGCATTAATAATGGTAGAGTGATGTAGGGTGGTCCTTCAGGAGACAGAGAGTTACAGAGTGACTGCTCAGAGTTTCTTTAATTTTGAAATTCTGTGACAAATGAATCTATTTTTCTTAAAACTGTTCAGAACAAGACTCAAGGCCCAGGGTTTTCAATTTATTCACAGGTTTATAAAAATTTATTTGATTACTTCTAACAACAGTTACCAAGCGTAAGCAAGGTAGAAGTCTAGAAATTGTTCTCAAGTTAAGGGTCAGGCCTTCTACATGCTGGTTTCTAAACCTTAAGTTGCTATGTGAACTTCAGCAGAACCATAAATGTTGCCAAATGGAGAAAGCGTGATGACCCAATTTCTCTATACACATGTACCATTTACTTTACAGCCTTAAAGCCTGATAAATAGGGAGTGCTTCATCCTGTTTTCTGGGTTGGCAATGTTTGCCATGCAGGGAGAATACAAACAGGTAGAATTTCATACCGTGCTAAATCACAGCATTCTGAAAAACTCGGGGCCTTGCAAAAGGCCATATCTCAAAAAAGTTACTGCTTCAAATAAAAGTGCCATTTTATAAAATTACACCTACTGTATCAGAAAAAATGTTCTTTCATGTGAGTGACATTTATATGACTGCCATTTATAGGGAATAGGACATTCTCACATAGCAAAGCTGAAGAATGGTTTTGAAAGCTGAGAATATTCTCTGAATGATAAGTGTGGTAGAAGTCTAAGATACTTGTGTAAGAGACTCTCCACAGCTGGGTAGTTTCCCTCTAAAAATGAAACCTGCATTATTATGAAGAAAGTAATTGTCTGTTTATACTTATAGCATTAATGAAATTTTCAATATATTTCAAACTGTTACCCAGCCCACCAACCCCATAACACATTAACCACAACCCTGCTCAGAACAAGCCTAACATATTATCTTTAGCTTATAGGAAACCACAAAGAAAGGAAGGAGAAGGCAGCTGAAACATATGGTCAAAACCACTTAAAACCAGTTGAAGGCAACATGGCAATCTGACTGGACCTGACATAGACCCTGCAGCCCATTATGAGCTCATTGTAATACATTGTCATGCTACATAACACACCTACCCGCAGGAAATTCCAGACCACATAAGGGAAGAAAAGGGGTGGCACCCAATTTCCCAGAAAAGCCTGCCCAGTTCCCTGTATGGCTATGAATATTCCTCCCCTTCATTACCTTGACCCCTTATAACAGCTGCCTGATTGCCCCAACAGCTAAGTTGATTTGCGAACTTTGTTCCCACTTCTCCATTCTTTGGCCATTGAATAAAGCTTCTGCTGTTGAACGCTCAGCTTCTGTCTTGTTTCAAATTGGCAACCCCAAACAGACAAAGAATCCTGTAAAGAAGGGCAAGGGGCTCTCCCTCGGGTTTCTGCTGGGTTGGGGAGAGCTCAATTGGTAACAAAACCTGCAAGCATCTATGACCAACAAAACCTTTGGTCATAGGTTTTCACCTTGTTAGAGTTGTACTTCGTGGATCATCTGGTCCAATACCTTTTTATTTTCATATGTGGAAACTGAGGCTGAGGTGTTGAGCTTTTAGTTAGAACTAGGAGTGGAATTTTCCACCCCCCCCACCCCACCCTATTCTCCATCCGATTCACTTTTCACTATACCAGTCATCTTTTAAAGAAAGTTCCCAAGTTACCATCTAGAGTAAAAACTACCTTCCAGCTGCCTCTAGACAAACAGAGAACCAAGGCTTTTTTTACTCTTCACAGTAAATTACATTTCAAACAATATTTCTCCGGAAAAGCAATCGCTAAACTGCAGGAGGAAATTTAAATCAAGATCAAAGACAGAAGTGGTTTAGATCTCAGGACAAATTTCAGCTCTCCGTAAAGAAGTGTCCTCAGGTCTGACACTGCGGAGATTGCCAAAACCACATTCTTCCAGGCTCCCGTCTGATGGGCGCCTCAAGATTGCTCTTAACCAGAACTAAGATACAGAGAGGCATCCAAACCCCTGTCTTCCTCCTTTAGGCTTCTCTACACCCTGGGGTCGAGATGCTGATAAAACTCCAGGAAGCCAGACGCTTGCTGAATTGCTTAACTCATCGCGCGATGCCCTTGGCTGGCCTTTCCGGGAGACGAGTTCGGGGGCGTGGTGCGGAGTTTGCGAGCACCTTCCTCCCACTGTGAGCAGGTTTGGGGAGTGGGGTCCTGGAAGCAAGGGCTCGAGGAACGCTGAAGCAGGTAAGGGAGAGGGACCGTGTGGCGAAAGGTAGAAGGCAAGAGCCAGCAACGTGACCCACCTGCGGGAGAGGTGCTTCCAAAGCGGCTACGGTCTAGCGCAGGTGCAGCCGGGCGCGCCGCGGGCCAGGCCGGGACAGCGACGCTTCGCCGCGCTCCAGCTCAGGGCTGCGGCTCGCGCGGCTCTCCCCGGTGTTAAGAAGCCCGAGAGCGGAGGGAGGGCCTGCTAGATTGCGCAAGAGAAGTGATGAAGAAAGCGTTTCCAGGAAGAGTTCAAGCTGGGAATCCCGGGCAGAGGGAAGGACCAGAACATTCTGTGCTGCCATTGCTACTGTTGCTGCAGAAGTGCCTCTGCTCTCTGGCCAGCGGGAGTTTTAAGGGTTTTCCCCAGGACCCTTGGGATCTGTGCATCCCAGGCAGATTGTGGCTTGGAGAGGCTGAGGAGGACCCTTTTTCTGAAGGAGCCAGGGGGACCTCTTGGAATAGCTGAGAAAAACACCTGGTTTAGGCTTCTAGGTATTTCTCCTGTTACCATCTTGTCTCAATTCAGCATAAAAGGTGACATCTTCCTCCTCTGCCTGGAAGCCCTGGGTTCTTACGGGGCTCAAAGGTTGGATGATCTTGAATTTGGAGGTTTTAATTTAGGTAGATTAAATTGTTCAAAAGAAACAAGCCAAATGAAAGATAGGGAAGATGATGATGAAGATAACTTATTGTTTATATATATCTGTATTTATATAATATTGCATAGCATAATAATATGCAATAATATATGTTGCAATTGGATTGGTATGTGTTTCTATATAGGAGGATCTCAAAAGCCACAGCTATGGTGGTTTAAGATTTAACTAATCGTGTTAACCTATAGGGCAAAGCACCCTGGCACTCCCAAACTCTGGGGTCTAGAACCCAGAGTCCCCTCAGTCTGTTTCTCACCCAGCCATCCGGTCTTAAGTTCCATGGCACGCTTGCCAAGGTCCAGATGTTCAGCCACATGCAAGGACTGCTCTCAGCGCTTTTGAGCCAGCTGTTGCCTAGATTACAACTCTTCCCCAGAGCATCTTGTGGAGTCAGCTCAGAGTCCATGTCTTCCAGGAAGTCATCTCTGAGCCACTAGTTGCAGTTAATCTTTTCTTTCTCCATAAAGTAGTTTATGCTTCTAATACAGCAGTTAGGAGAGTCTGCCTCTTAAGAGAGTCGTTGTTGTATATGTATCTCCTCTCCTGGACTACAAGCTCTGAGGGTTGACACCCTATGCTTTTCAGCCTGGAATTCTCTACCACACCTAGAACAGTGCTTTGCATGTAATAGGTACTCAATATTTATTTTACTCATTGGACTGCCAATTATTATATTATATTCTGCAAAAAGGTCATCTGATAGTATTCTTTGGGCAAGGAAGAAGACCCAGAAGCAGACAACTGGGGTCTACAGACCAAGTCACTCTGGTTTCTGAGTAGTGTTTACATCTATTATGAGTTGACATAATGGAAAATCATATTCCCAAATGCAGGCTCCAACTAATAACAGAATCATTGCTTTATATATTTATCATTATTAAGTGGACAAAAAATTTTAAAACCTGATTTTTATGAGAGACAGATATATTTCAGTTATGTAAGCTCTTTTCTTTGCCAAAAGCAACTAGAGTCTCAGAAAGGGAAGATTAAATTACCAGAATATGAAGGATGGAGAAAATTGTTTTCGTTAGTACTAAACTTAAGAGGTACTTGACTTATTTATCTGATTTTTTCATTGGTCCTAGGAGAGACATACAATTCATAACTCTCCTAGTCTTTCCTTAAACGCTTGCTGTGGGGGAAAATTAAGATTTCACAGATGCTGGCAACCTGAATACCCAAGGATTTGCCATTGGCAGGATTCATCCTTCTCCCTGAAGCCCTATCATCAGAACTCCAGATAAACCTTCCCAATCTTGTACACTACCAACGAATTCCGTGTTTAGAAAATTCCACATTTATGGTGCCCTGAGTTTTTCCTGCTACTTCCTCACTTGCCAGCCTGCTACCTCAATTTCTCCACATGGCAGAATTTAAGAAAATTAATGAAGTAGGCCTAGAGTTAGTGTTCATTAAATGTTTGAATAAAAGTGTGCCTTTAACATCTTGTATCTCCTTTCCTATGTCGTTTTTCTCCTCTTCAGGGACCCTCTTCTGTACAGTCTCAGGCCTTAGCCACTCCTCCCTCTTCCCCAAGACCTCTGCTTACAGTGTACCATATGTTATTATGGGGTCGGGCTTTCAACATATGCTGGCCCTGGAGGTGCCTGACTCAATAGTCTGTAATTAGCATGTATCTGGGAAGCTCTCATTGACTTAAAGATTTACCCTCTAGCTGTTTTTGGATTAAAAAAAAAAAAATTGAAGGACTCTTGGAGATGTCTCTGCTTAACCCAAAGAAATGAATTTCTAATGGTGGGGATTTCAGGCACTCTGGGAGATATTTCTGAATATGAGTATAATGAATATTTTGTCTTTTGCTTGCCCAGCATCCAGGGCCAGGACTGAGGTGATGTGGAGCCTAGAGCACAAAATTTGGGGAGGGGCTCACTCTCAAAACCAACCCTGCATGTACCGGAAAATGAGTGTCTCCTTAAATTTTGCCCTGTTGGTGCTTCACTGACCTCCTCTTGTCCTAACCTTGCAGAATCTGTTTCCCTTTCTGCTAATCATATCTTCATTTTCCTTTGAGAAACACCCTTGCACAATCTCAGTCCTTGTGGTCCAGGTGGAAGTGACAGCATGGTGCAGGTTTCAGGAATAGACCCATGATTTAGACCTGGCCAGTCAAAGCACACAGTGTTGTCCACAGTGATTGGTTCAATGATGACATGTGACCTAAGCTGGGCCAACAGGAATCTTTCCTGGAACAACCCAACAAGAAGCACACTCATGGCACAGTGTCGTTGAGCTGCTAGAATGTAAACCTGGGACACTGTGAGGAGAGAGCGAGCCTGAGAAAGAAGCCACTTCAAGGGAAAGAAGAGCAAAGAGATGGAAACAGACAGATTTCTGAAATTGTTGAAGCTCCAACCTGAAGAGGGCTCTATACCCTGGGCTTTTTAGTTGCATGAGTCCAATAATTGGGTGTCCGTTATTTGTATAGTCTGCCTAATAAAATGGGATTGGGTAGGATGAGAAGCACACTGCTCAGTCTTGCTTCTCCAATCATACTGTCTACTAAGGTGACTTCATCACAACATATAATCAGAATGAGGATGACATTTGTTGTTTGAAACAAACCTTTTCTGAGTTTTCTTGTAGCAGATTTGGGACCTGAGTAAACAATCAGTCTCTGTGGCTGAAGTTTCTAGCTACTTTCCAGTAGACTCTTAATTTCTTGTCCCAGCAAACTTCTTTTTCTACTTCTTTCCTACACTACTGGGAAGTGGGCTAGTAGAACCAACCTCCCTCTCCCCAAACTATGAAATTGCAAAGGGTACAGTAAAGAAACTCAGGCCGTTGACCTGGGTTTTAACCAATTTCTAGGATCCCTGCCAACACAGAGCAGGAAGCAAAACCAAACAACATTTTGCCACCCACCTGTACCCAAAAAAAGTCCTGATGGGAAAATATGCCAGACACTGACAATATGGGAGACTGGGCTAGGTGATGATGTCAGGAATGACAATAAATAATTAAAAATAAGACATGCCCTAAAGAACCTGACTCTGTCACAAGAAATTCAAGAGAAGGTAAAAGTGGAAGAGTTGAGTATGTGAGATGAGCAAATAACAACACTTTAAAAAGTCATGGACTAGAGGTGAAGGGCAGCTACTTCTGGTTATTGGAAGTAGGCAAGGAATCTCTGTCCTCTTTATCTGGGTCTATGGCTCTCTGGGTCACAAAGTGTGTGTGTCAATTTTGGCAGGGCTATGGACTGACCAACCTGAAGAGAAATCTGGACGTGGCCCAAGCCACACCTGCCAACCTCAGAGGAGGTCACTTAGCTATGATGTTATAAAAGAACAAGATGTTCAAAATAGTTTGAAGAGATGGGGAAACATTTATGTCGAGTTAATTTTTTGATAAATAGAGGTGATATTAACAGAGATGTCATCTCTATGTTACGTTTTGGTAATTCAAAAACTGAAGATAAGCCATTTGAGCTTCACCCGAGCCTCCTGGTACACATGCTGACATAGCTACTGGGAGAGCTATGATTCAACAGTGGGTGGTGGTTACTGTTAGTGCCAGACATATTCTTAGTAAAGGCAATGCCAGCAAATCTGTGACTAGTGCTTGTAAAGGAAGGTTAGTTGGATTTTCAGATACTAAAGAGGAGACAAATAGAAAATTAGAGTGAATGTAGCTTCATCCATTGTCCTGTTAATCTTCAAACAGAAAAACAGAATTAGCAATGAGTATGCAGCCGATCATAGGAGGAAAAGAAAAGGACAAGAATAATGAAAACATTAGGCCATTGTTTCCTGCATATTTTTGACTGTAAAGATCAATTACTTGCTAAGAGTTATTTTTATTCTTTGGGATTGCCTTAAAGATAACTATAAAACTTTTTCTATCATGCTGGTAGGGAAATACCAAATACAGATGATTTATTTTATATTCACAGATTATTTGCCCAACAATTGATTTAACTACTCTAGATTATTTTAGGTTATGTAAAACTTCATTTTAAAGAATTAATTAAGGGGCTGGCCGCGTGGCGTAGTGGTTAAGTGCTCGCACTCCGCTGCTGGCAGCCCGGGTTCAGATCCCGGGTGCACACCGATGCACCGCTTGTCAAGCCATGCTGTGGCGGCATCCCATATAAAGTGGAGGAAGATGGGCACAGATGTTAGCCCAGGGCCAGTCTTCCTCAGCTAAAAGAGGAGGATTGGCATGGATGTTAGCTCAGGGCTGATCTTCCTCTTTCTCACCAAAAAAAAAAAAAAAAAGAATTAATTAAAATTTTTGAAAAACTGATGCACAGGTGCAAAATTCATGATATGAAAGAGGTACGTTAAAAAGCACTTTTCCCCAGGCACGGAGTTCTCCTGCCTGGAGACAACCGTGTTGATGATTTATTGGGTTCCTTATAAAAAGCCTATGCTATAAAAGCGTATATATTTATTCTTAAAAAATACAAGTGGCAGCCTACTAGTCACATTCTTCTACATCTTGCTTTTTTCACTTAACAATGTAACTTAGAGATCATTCAGAGGAGAGTAG